CACACGCGCACGCGCACGCGCACGCACACGCACACGTACACGCACACGCGCACGCACACGCACACGCACACGCGCACGCGCACGCGCACGCGCACGCACACGCACACGCACACGCGCACGCGCACGCACACGCACACGCGCACGCGCACGCGCACGCGCACGCGCACACTCACGCACACGCACACGCACACGCACACGCGCACGCTCGCAGGCACACGCACAGGCACACGCACACGTACACGCACACGCACACGCACACGCACACGCACACGCGCACGCGCACGCGAACGCGCGCACGCGCACGCGCACGCACACGCACACGCACACGCACACGCACACGCGCACGCGCACGCACATGCACACGTGCGCGCAGAGAGAATGACCGCCTCACAGGGTCAGAGAAGGTCACGCTACAACCGCAGGGCTGGATTCCCAGAACTCGCCGTGCCAAATCTCCCCCTGAAAAACTGCCAGCGTTCCTGGAAAGAATTTGCGCCGACATAAACTCCTCAAAGCGTACTATCACAACAAGAGGGTTGAACCATTTGCCGGGCCATGACGCCCCCCGCCCCAAAACAATGCGAACACACACGCGCACACAAACAAACAAACAAACAAACAAACAAACAAACAAACAAAAAACAAAACAATAGAAAAACAATACATTACAAAACCACCAAAAACACACACATCTAGGGAATTTCGCGGCGTTCCAAAGGCAGTAGGTGCCCATCCCGAGGCACCCCACCCCATCCGTCCCGGAAGAAAAAGATGCCCCGGATTGAAAGAATAGAAAGGCATCAACTCATGCTTTCGGCCAGCAAACTACGACAGTCTCAAGCTGACACGGGGGAAGAGGTTTCCACCCCTAGAGGTAAGCCCCTAAGATTCGCAACAAAGGAAACAACACCAAATCAAAATCTAAACGCTACCCCGCCCCCGAGTTCCTCACAATCAGCATGCTTGGGGTTGTGCGGCTTTGTCATGTGGAGCATTTCTCGTTCAGGTTCAGGGAAGGGAAGGAGGGCCCCCGCTCGCTGCCCCCCAAAAAAAAGGTAGAAAGATGGTAACAGCCAAGGAACAGAAAGCCTGCTTCACCATTTAAATCATAGCAGCTCCGCTGTTGTTCGCCGCTGTGCTTTGATGGTATCCCCGGCAATGGCTTGTGATAGTCAGCATCGTACGATCGAACACGGTATCCCACAGCGTGGGCCCATTTGCTGATTCTGGCTGCCCCTGAGAAGAATTCAAGCAAATGCAAATGTTCAGGACAAAATGAAGGTGAAACGGGCACCCAAGACGCCAAAAGCACCAGCCAAACGAAATCCTTAGCTGGCCGTGGCAGGTTGCAAGTCAAAACCGACACCCTGCAACCCTTGGCTGCTAAGACTCCGCCGGCGCCCCCAGGTGCAGCATCTGCCGGCACGCCACACCGAGTTGGCTGGGGGAGATCTTCATGGCTTGAGCAGGAGTCACGCTTGATCTGGGCAGGGTCTACGGGCGGATGGACTTGGTGGGCCAAGGACTTGGTACTCAAACAAGGCAGCCCTTTCCCTTTCCCTTTTGAAAAGAGAAGTGAAAAAGTGCCCGGAAAGAAAGTGCGTGTCATGGCCCTCATCTCTGATGCGCAAGTCGGTCAGCGCGCAAAACAAGCCGGGGCGACAGTTCACCCCTATCTTGGCAAACATGGAGTTTCCCCTGCGGATACTCATCCTGCCATTGGTCAATGTGTGGCTACGGCTTTTGCAGACTTGCGAGCCCTTCTTGGCCTCCTGGGCGCCAGATGAAGCAGCTGCCATAGCCCACCTGGCGGACGCAAACTTCTAGCCGTCACAAGCTACTTTGAGATTGATGCATGCGCTTGTTCCTTTTTCGGCACTTGTTCACCATAAGTGCACAAGGTCCCGGAGCTTTCGGAATTGAAGACACATGCCTTAAAAGACATCCGGCTGACCACCCCAAGCCAATAAAGATCATGTAGCCGGTCTACCCGAATTGGACACTTGCGTGTTGAACGCTCCCCCTCCCATGTGCAAATATTGCACGTGGGGCACGCACGCACCCGCCCAGTCAGGGTTGGCCGCAGAAGCCCTCAAGGTCAGAAGCTGCTCTAGAAGTTGGGGTTGCGTAGCAAAGCTCCTTCGTCAACGGGAAGAGCAGCCGTCCGTTCAAAGGCAACAAGTTTCACACTTTTGAAAGTTACCACTAGGGTCAAAAGGATGCCAACTTACCAAGAGTCGAACCTCTTTCTGCTTCAAGAAGTCCGGAACATTTGCGCGAGCAATCTCCGTGACTGCCTCGTAGCTTTCCTGTTCTTGGTTGCCCTCCATGCCGGACAACGCAGCGGACACCAATTTGAAGAAAGGCGCCTGCCAGAGCAGCCGCCTTCCCAAATCTGTTGTTTTGGTGCGGCCCGTAGGGACCCGTCCGTGCGAGCACGATAACACCAGTCAAGTGAGTGGCATGAACTTGGCACTTGCTCAAGGTTGAATTCCCTTCTAGAAGCTTCGTTGAAAGCTATCAGAACTGAAGGAAACCCATTTACGGCAGGGCCCAGGCAACCCTGGATCCTTTCGCAGCCCCCAGCAACTATAGGGCTCTTCCCATGAAATACAGGAAACAGCGTCGGCCAACAGTTTTGCAGAAAGGGATGAATCGGGATTGCGGAAAGGGATGAATTGGGAAACAAAGACACCATCGAGGCTAGTCCTTGGCAGCCTGGTCGCTGCCTACCAAGCGCTTCAGCATACCCAGTCCTGCAAGGCAGAGTGGCGAGAGACTTTCGGAAGGATCTCGGCTTGAAAGACATCGCGCATTGCCTTGAGCTTGGGCGACCCCACGTAGCGCCCGGCGAACGTCTTCTCCGAGATCTTGACCTCGCCGCCGCGGCCAACCTCGCATGCCTCTTTCTTGCTCTTGCCAGCGTCGGCTTTCGCCTTGGCCTTGGCGCTGGCTTTGCTGCCTGCGCCGGTGGCCTCCGCGTTCTCCACCCTAGCCATCGTCTCCGCGTCTGCCTCGAGCGTTGCTTTCGCGTTGCCCTTTGCGTTTGTCGCTTTGCCCTTCGCCTTCGCCTTCGCTTTCGCCTCGCCCTTTGCCTTCGCCCGCCCCTTCGCCTTCGCCTTGGCTTTGGCCTTGGTGTTCACCTTGCCTTCCGGCTCATCTTCAGCCTCACCAGCAGGCTGCCTGAATTCGGCCTGCAGCTGCTCCCGTCGAAGGATCAAAGGCACCTGGCTCTGCCACGCAACCCCTTCATCCATGGATGGGGCCATAGGCTAAAGATCTTTTCTGTGGGGTCATAGGCTAAACATGCAACTTCCAGCCTCCAACTGCATCAAGCTAGCGACGTCCGAGTCTCTGCCTCGCGCCAAGAGCGGCTTCTCGGTGGCCGCGTCGAAGTTGCCCTCGCTGCCAGCCAGATCCTGCAGGTAGCCGCTGGGCTTCTGGCCATCACCCTTATCCAAGTCTACGTTTTCATCATCGTTACGCGTCGCAGTCGTAGTCGCATTGTGCTCCAAGGCGCCGTCAGTCAGGCGCGTGTCCACACAAGCCTTTGCCAAGCCCTTGTCACCGTAAACCTCGAAGGCTTTGCCCTGTTCCTCGCCAAGCTCCGCATCAGCTTGCCGGGCCAAGTCCTTCCCGTCATCCTCGCACTGCAGAGCTGCAGCCGCTATGCCAGCCGTGACAGCATCAGCTTCGCCCTGCGAATCTGACAGCTCAATCACCTCACTCGCGGCAGCCATTGCCTGCGTGGCGTTGGCTTGAGTCGGGAAGCTAGTTGGCAGGGTCTCCAGGTTGTCCATGCTCAAGGCAGCACCTGAGAAATGACAAAGGTGGGCTTACATGTCTATTTCGGGCAATCGTTGTTTTATGTTTGGAAGCAGGGGGAAACAGTTAAGACATATCCTGTTTTTAGGATCGAGCCACTGGACTTTCCTCGCTTCAGCGCCCGCTCCTCCAGCTGGAAGCTGCAGGGTTCGACACGCGGAATGACTTGTAAGGTAGGGGATGTAACATAAACCCGTGTAACAAGGCCCCTGGCACCAAAAGTGGGAGTTTATTTGCCATCGTGCCTCAACACCCGCATTCTCTTCAGAATCTGCGTTCGTTTCAGCGCGGCATCAACTTCCATGTGATCCGCTTGAGGAGTGTGTGGCGGCTGGACACCAACCGCAGCTGCAGATGCAGATGCTGGAGCTGCAGCTACAAGTGCGCAGGCAGGTTGCTTTGCCGACTGGCCAAGCTCGCTGCGGGGCGCCAACTTGTTGGAAGCAATCTCCCCCGCGTTGGTTTCCAAAGGGTTGGAAGCGCTCTCATCAGAACCAGTTTGGCTTTGAAGGTATGGATCTTCAGCAGTGTCAGTCTCATTTGTTTCGGTGCCCTGGGGATCCTCATCAACTTCACCCGGACCAAGTTCACGAGGCGCCTCCGTTTGTTCTGCAGGTGGGTCTTCAGATCCCCAAGCATCATCGAGCATGCGCCAGAAGTCGTTGAGCACTGAGTCCTCAGTTCAATTTCCAAGCGATTGTAAGGACCCCGGAGCAAATAGTCTGTATGGCATGGTTACGCAGCCAACACAACAAGCTGAATTGATTTGACATGTGTTTGGGTCTCAGGCACGCGGGGCCGGATTGATCCAGCAAGCCACCTCCTCAAAGCGTGGGAGAAGAGTTTCTTCAAGCCCCAAGAATCCATAGACACCAGTGCTTGGTTTGTAGGCAGGGCACACAAGACTCTCCATCGTTGCACCTCAAAGGGTTGACACATTGAAGCTGCATGCCCCTGGTTTGTGATGCCTCAGCTTGGGCGTTTTGATTTCCGGGGGCATTGAAACTGAAAAGCTGGTGAAGGCAAAGCAACACGTGTGTTCAACCTGTCTGGCCTGTCGCCGAATGCGATCAATGGGGATGGGGCATGGGCCTCCGCTCTGTGGCAGCCACCACTGCGCAACCACCGTAAGCGGCTTTATGTTCAGCACCAAATGTTTGCAGGATGGCAGGCCGATGGTGGCAGCGCTTGCCCACTGCGTGATTTGGCCATGGGCGCGGGCCAATTGGCGGATCGAAGGATCTGCCTCCATCATGTCTGCAAGATTAGCCATCACGCTACACTAGTTCCAACTAATGACTTTGAACCTCCAAAATGCTTGAGGCATCAGGTTTGCTAATGTGAAGGGAAGTATGGGGACAGCAAGCTCACCCTTCTCTGTGCAAAACATGACGGTTCTGCCACTCGCACAGCGCTCAGGTCAGAGCAGCGGGCGCCATCGGTGGAAAAAGCGTCGCACTGCAAACGGGCCGGGCGTGGCTTCCAATTCTGGCTGTGGGGACTTTTGTTCTGAGATCAATGAAAAGCGTAGCTTTACATGATGGGACTGCCAAAACAATCTGTGAAAGTAGCATAAATTGAAATTCCAGCACTCCAAAGCCGGCAGGTCGATAAGCTCACCTTCAACCTGAATGATTCAGAAAGTGCTCGCAAGCACTTTTTTCTGCCACCAACCTTTTTTTGGTTGCAGCAGAAATTATGCATACAAAGGATGTCCCAGGTATGAGGGTTAGGATTGGGACTGTGCCCTTTCCAGACAGATCGGCGCGGACACACCGCCCCTTGAGGTTCTTTATGGGTCTGGCCCCGGTGTAAATTTTTGAAGATGATATTTTGTGACTCGGATGTCGGTCAAATGGGCTTGCAAGATACGCTTGCAACTTGTCTTTTTATCACGAGAGCTAAGGACCTCCTTCCCCGGATAGGCTTTCAGAACTCTGAGTTTGTCTAGGATTCCCAGGTTCCTTGCTTGCGAACCTTTCCAAACAAATCACTTTGGCGGATGGTTTGAGCTCAAAAAGAAGTGGCTTGATCAAGCCGCTAGTTGCTGCGGCCATGGCAATGCTGCCCATGCACCCATCAGAAAATCAGAAAGCAGGGCAACACCAAAGGCGATTTGGGGCACGTGTAACTGTTCGGACCCCTAAATGGCTAGCATGTCGCTTCAACATTGGCCTGGGGTTCAATCCACCATTAAAACAATGGGTCAATATAACCACCGTTCTTCACCGAAAGATTGTCGTCATCCAAATTGGATCCGCTTGGGCCTTTCTTTTAATGGTGGCCTTCGAACATGTGGGGCTTACTTTGATCCACATCGGTGTCGATTGTGGATCCGTGTCTGAAGGTTTATTCGAGAGCTCGCTCGCGCGCTCAAGCCGAGGAAGAATACGAGACGGGGCTCAGAGCTCGACGCCAAAGGGCCGGATCTGTCTGAAGGGACGTGGATCAGCCCAGGGACCAATGTGGGAACTCTCGTGAACCCCTTTTTAGTGGGACTGAGCACCAGCAATTAAAGGGAAACCAAAAGAGATCCAAAGAGCACCCTCCATTTAAATCGATATTTTGTAGCAACCCCTTGTGACCCACCAAGTGCTGTAGAAAGACATGCCTCAAGTGTCGCCAATTGTGATTTGTGGTTGTCTTTTGTCCGGTTTGCACACTGCGCTCCTGTCAATTGATGGTTGGCTTGTCAAGAGAACATCTGATCCTCATTCTCTGGTGCCACTGGAGGTTATCAACAGTCAGACACTGGCTGTTTTCAAGTGACGGCAACTAATTCGCTAGTTGCCCGTAACCACCGAAGCCGTGGTTCCCGTTTTTGCCGGGCTAGGACCATGCCTTGCGGATATTTATGAGGGGGTTTTCCACCCTCTTGACAGGTTTGCCCTCGTTTTGGTCCATGGGGTTTCGTTAGTTACCTGGTTCTCCGGTGCTGTCCCAAGAGGCCAAGTCATTTTCAGAATTCACCCTACCCCTGAATAGGGCCCTTCAAAAAGTAACGTTTCAAACCACCCTTCAAAACAACTCACCGAACTTGAGGCAATCTCCCAAATCTTCTTCTACTTCTTGACTGCTAGTGTGTTGGATCTTTAGACTTCAACTTTTTGGAGAATCAAAGCGTTTTCCACTAAACCCCCCAGAAAAGGTAAGCTTTTTGCAGGGGGGTCATTGCAGCAACCAAGACTTTGCTTGGGCCGACAAGCTGGCTTTCCCCACCCCCCCGACTGCCGACTGAGCTCGGAACAGACCTTCCGAGGTACGGGGTCAGCAGCGCGGGGCTACGGGCCTTCTTCCCCCGCACCATCTCCGGGGATAAGTCCGAAACCTTCGAGGAGTCCGCCGGAGACGTCGGTCGCATTCCGGTCGACGGGAGACGTCCTTTTGGTTGGGTTTCAAGCGACACGAACCAGAAAACTGCGGCCATTATTGTCTTCTTTTTTTTTTTTTGGGGGGGGGGGGGACTTGGAGAAAAACTCATGAGCGTGTTTTTTTTGTTGAGGGTACGCCTTTTTTGTGGCTTTGTAGGAAAACCAAGAGGAAGATCAACATTTTGAGGGCTCCCCGAAAGAAAGACGCACCCATGGTTCATTCTGCAGAGGATGTTTCTGATTAAATGAACACGTGCGGGAAAAATGGGGATCAAGCTTTGCTCATATCTGGGTCTAAGGTGATCGATCACATCCGGGGTCCCTTGAGTTCTGAGCGGTTTTAGAGGCTCAGTTCCAACCAATTTCTGAGGAAAAAACAAGGAAAGAAAACAACGTTTGGGGAAGAGCGGTCAAACCCGGAGTTCGGACGATTTCTGAGGAAAAAAAAAAAACGTTTGGGGAAGAGCGAGCAAACCCGGAGTTCGGAGGAATTATTTGGCCAATCAACTGAGGAAGTGAGTGTGAGGGAAGGAAGTCTTGTTTGATGAGAAGGGTTTGTCTCAAAACGGGGATGCCCGGAAGCTGGGTTTTGGTGCACTTCATGAGTGTGAATGTCAAGTAGGAGCCTTTGGCGGCCATCATACATGTCCACCAACCTTTTTCGAGTGAGCTCTCATTAAATGTCATTCTAGATCCATATTTGGGTATGCCTCAAAATGAAGGAAACCCCGAAAACACCTAAGAAACCCTATTTGTCATTGTTCTGCCCATGCGGCTTGGCCACAAAAATGGCCATCCGGTCTTTTCTGTCAACATGTTGACGAACATATACGCGGTAGAAACGGGAATCTCAGGACAGCCCAGAAGACAATAGTGCTTGAAATGTGTTGCTAAATATTCCAGACGCTGCCGCGATGTGAGAGACTTGCGTTTGTAGGCGTCCTTCAATAGGTCCTTTTGGTTCAGAAAATACATGGGTTCCACTGCTGTGATTTTGGGTTCTATATTGCCTTTGGGATCCATGTTTGTTTTTCCCAAAAGGTCACCTGGGGCCAGGGGCCAGGGCATTTGGGAACGCACGCATTCCAGCAAGAACCCAATCCCACATTCCCTCAGGAATCCATAAGCCTTGGTGCAAATGATTTCTGTTCTTTTCGGCGCTTCGGGCCTCGGACCGCAGGAGGAGGATGAGACCTCGCCATTCCAGCCTGGGGATCAGGTGTGGGGCCCGGCTAGCAAGCGGGAAGCGGTGGTCAACCTCCGCCGCCCAGCGACTGCTGGGCTTCAAGGGAACCCAAGTGAGCAAGCTCAAGGACATCTTCGCTGGGAAATTCGGCACACTCACCGAATCATGGCTGGGAATGGGGAGATCAAGTGACATGTGGTACCATGTGATTTTTAGTTCTCGAGCTCTGAGCCTGTTTAGAGAGGTTCTTCATCGCGGATGTTCCCAACCCACGTGCCTTTGTCATCCAGGCGTGTCTTGGGTATCTTGCATAGATGATCATGCCAGAGCTGTGCATCGACGAGCTTTACCTCTCAGCTGACCCGCAAGGATAGCTTAGGGGTGAAGATGCGTGATGCATTTGAGGGTTCGAGCATCACCTGGTCCCGTTTGGAGAGTCCTGTTTGATCAACCTCGGAGGGTGTACCCATTGATCAAACCACACAGCAGACCTACATCCCCTTGGCTATATACCAGGAAAAAGGCTCATGGGTTGTATACTTTGGAGCCAATTCCAGGCCGATGGAACCCAAAAAAGGGAACCATCTCAAAATGGTGGTTCGAAAAAACCACCCTCCAAAGCAACTCGGAGAGCCCTTCAAAAATGAAACCACTTTAAGGGAAATCGCCCAAAAGCAATTTGGAGAGCCCTTCAAAAATGAAACCACTTTCAGAGACCCCGCTCCATCAAACAGCAAGAAGGGATTTCGACTCCATGGGCAGAGGTCGCTGCTCTGGTCGCCGGCTGGGACGTGAACAAGGAGTCGGCGCAGGGCGGCGCGCTTTTGATGGTCGCACCTTTTTTTGTGCGCTGCTTCCTTGAAACCCAGCCAACAAGGGCTCCGAATCCTATCGCAGGAAACCCTAGAAAAGAGCCTGCATCACGTTGGTTGTTGGTTGCATTACGTGTCTTTTCTGTTTGTGGTAGTTGGGGTTCCCGACCGAAAGTTGTTTCTTGCTTTTCCAACGGTGGTCATCCGATGCGGCAACAGTCAAGACTGTCAGTAGTCTATAGGCCATTTAGCAGGCACATGGGGTGGAGTCACAAAATTGTTCACACTAAATTGCCCATGCCCTCTTCGAGAAGCGAATAATTTTGACTCTGTCTCATGTGATTGCGCTAGGTTGTGTAGATTCGTACTGGAGACATGGGTGCCGCGAGTTTAGTTACTTGCATTGTTTTCTGTGGAGGCTGGTCACCAAACGTTTTGAGCTTCTGATCTGCACTTTCACACGGGTCACTGGATTTCCATTCTTGATCAGTTTGATGTTGTTTTCCACTGAAAGTGACAGTGTGGGAGGTCCAACGGTCCAACGAAAAGAAAGTTGACGGACCCAAGTTTGACAAGCATAGAGGAATTTCTACTGGAAGTGAGCCAAAAGACTTCCACAACCAGAGGCTTTGGCTATGTAGAAATTCCCGGGTTGATGGAGATCAGGCTAGGGCCATCTCACCTGGCAAAATCGAGGGAGCCAGCCGCTTGTGTCCGAGCCTTGTCAGGGTGAACGAGAAACCGGAAATGGAGAATCACGGAAGTACAGGGTTCACTTTCACAGGAGACCACCATATTTTTCAGGGAAACACGGTGTTTTCGCGGCATAGCCCTAAACAATTGAAAACACGATGTTTCCACCGGGGCACGGCAAAATTTGGCAGGCGTTTGAGTCTCTAGGTATGTGTTGTTTTGTGGCGAAGGCGAAGGCTAGCCAGCGAGAATGGGCTGGACGCCCACAGCCCATGTTGCTGCACAATGAACGTCAAGAAACAGGTTCCAATGGGTTTACTTCCAATCGCTTGCACCAAAGGATCAGCCTGGACCCTCAAACTGCCCTTCAAAGAATGGGCAACTGCCCCAAAATTATGGGGTGATAATCCATTTTTAGGGGTAGTTTGAGGGTCCAGGAGTGTTTGTCGCATCCAAAAGGAGCTCATTCAAAACTCATTCAATAAGCTTGCCGTCAGGAGATGGGGGTGGGCAAGGTGAAAGAGGCACGACGTTTGAAAGGGCTGGGGGGGGACCCCATGGTTTTCGCCCCCCCCCCCCCAAAGAAGCCCCTTCATTTTTGCTTTGGCTTCCCTTCGCAACCTGAGAATGGTTTTGCCCAGGGCGCTCTGAAAGAGACACTGCTTTGCATGCAGAAATGGATGGGAGAAAGGCAGGCTCACTGAAGCAGCTCCAAACAAGAATGAGTCCTGACCCAATAGGCAAGCAACCTAGGCGCCAACCAATGAGATTGTCGGCCAAGGCTCAGCTTTAAGAGACGGCGCCGAGCCTCACTACAGATGAAGGCCGCTGAGGCAACAGCTTGCAGATTCAAACCGGCCAATCCCTGCGAAGCGCAACCACAACGGCATAATATGATGTCACGTTGGGCTAGGGGAGGTTTACCCTGCGGTTGTGGGAATGATACAACACCACCAAAAGCCGTTGCTACTTGGTTGCCAGCAAAGAATCCACATTAACATCACTATACGTCGCCCAGAATCACCATAAACTGAGATGTCCGAGCACGAAGTGGTTGCTTAAAGCCTTATTCACCCATCTTGCAGGGCCCTAAGTGAGGTTCAGATTTGGCACGGGTCTCAAGAATCCGATGTGGCATCGTGGGGTGTAGTCCACACATGTACAACTGCCATGCACATGCACATCAGCCAGAATAACAGTAATTTCTCAAACTACGCCTAAACATGGAATATCAACCTAAGTTGTGTATTGTTCTAGAAGTAGCTGTCGGTTTCTGAAAAGGACGATGGTAAGAAAAGAATGGTTGGAATATGAAGTTGCCATTTGCCGGTACCTAAGTTAACCTGAACCCTGATCCTAAGTTGAGTATCTTTTGTCCTGAAAAAGCGGCGGTTAAATTCCCTGCCGGTTCTTGGGTCGCATTTTCGAGGTGCTGGTGCCGGGGCGGCGCCCTGAGCGACGGAAGAGGAGTTTAGGTGCCCCCCCTCAAAAAAAAGGGAACCCACCCGCTGGACATTTGTTGGCTCTTGAGAAAAACATGTTTCTGAGGGGGGGGGGGACTTTTTTTTGGTGGGGGGGAGGGGAGGGGGGGAAGGGGAGGGACACATATTTCCAGGATTGTTTGATGGTACTTGCGATCAACAAATGGCTCTCCTTGGCAAGGCTCGGGAGGTTTGCGAGAGGGTCCTGGTTGCTTGGGCACCGCGCATTTCCATTGACTTTGGGGCCATCCCGAAAGCAGTTGCGAGCCATGGATTTGCGTGGCTGGTTCCCTCAATTGGGTCGAGCTCGTCTTTGAAGAGTCGACCCCGGTTGAAAAAGTCACTGCTGCAAAGTCAAGGGCGACGTTTCGCATGAGCTTTTCGCTGGGCATCTTTCAATGGCTCCAACTCGCGCGCGGCCCAGATCTTTGACTCGGGGTGTAGAACTGCAGCTCAGGCCCTCATTTGGACAGCTTCTACATTGGGTGTGGCGCAGAATTTAAAAGATTTCAAGCGGACGGCAGGTTTTTGTCTACTTCCCCCATTTACCAGGGTTTCACGTTGGGATTGTTGAGCCACACCCACATGGACATGTTTTTCTTTTCCACTTGATATGTTTTTGTGCCCGGTCTGTCCTAGCTTGCACAAAAGGTCACATCTATTTTTGGAGCAGAACTTTGGCGACTGAGAATTCACCCGCACATGTGATGTTCAATATACAGTCATGTTCATGTATGATACTATATACATATACATATATTATATCTACATACATGAAGGCTACAGTATATAAGCACATATGTATATGAATACATTGCTATGCAAGTACATGCAGGTATGTGTATATATATATATATGCATGTGTATACACATATGTAAGTTTATATGCGTATGTATATGCATATGTATACATGTGTATATATATATATAGACATACACATATACATGCATGTACTTGCATAGCAATGTATTACTAAGCATATATATATATATATATATCTATATGCATTTCTATACTGTAACCTACATTTACGTATGTATATGTATATATATATATATATACACATACCCGGACGAGGCCCCAGGGCACAGTGATGGTGGAGTTCCCGGACGGCACGAGGGAAGCCAAGGTCTGGGGCTTGGGTCTGTTCAGAGTTCACGCTTACTCCCTTACCCACGTGGATTTTTTCGGCTTACCAGGTGCCACAAAAACCGGATGAACATGTCATACCAAAAAACAAATAAACGCGATCTATTGGGTTGGATCTTTGGACTTTGACATTTTAGGGAATCATGGATTGTTTTCCACTAAAGCCACAAGAAGTTATTCACTTTTTGCAGAGGGGTCGTTACAGCCTTACCCAAGTTTAGGGTCTTTTCGGGTTGAGTGGTAGTTTCCATTTACCCTGCGAAAAGTAGAACTTTTGGCAGGTATTCCGCGAGATCCTTACCCGGTTACGCAAGGATTTGGTCCGCTTTTTCAGTAACTTCCCTATATTGATTATGGAGTAGGATTGGCCAAGCCTCCATTTGAACAGCCCAGCCTTAATTGGTGTTTTGGATTGGTGCAGTATCATCTTTCCCTGGTTCTCTTAAAGGGTAAATGGGAAATTGTCCTTAAGCACCAAACCACCAATCCAAATCACCAACTAGAGGGAAGCTGATCTAGCCTTTTGGCTTCCCTGATTTGATCCGCAGTCAAGAATTCAAAACTGGGGTGAGAAATTTGGCATGGGAACTACCCATGTTTGTATCACGGGTGATATTGATATTGGGTGATCTTCCGCAATGGGGCTTCAAAAGTTCGGCATTGTAAGTCTGAGTTACGGGAAGGATGCGTGAAGAGAACTGGGGAAGCCTCTAGAGAAGTTCGAGAGCTCCTTGCCGAAGCAACCAACACTGAAGTGGAACACTGGATTCTGGACGGGAGGTGTTTGACAACGTCTCACCCAGCCAGGCGCACTTTACACTTTTTTGCTTGGTGGCTATCCAAGGCTTTATTTTAGTGGTGGCCCAAAAAGTGTGCCCTTGATTTTGGCTGGTCACTGGCCAAGTGAGACGTTCAAGGAGATTCTTGCGAGGGAATCATGATCATGAATCATGAGCAACAGCATGATCTTTGACCGTAGCCCACACGCGGGTTGTTCAAATAGAGTCTGGGCCCGTTTCCTTTGCCATGTACACTCCGTGCCACTAACATGGAAGCTGACAGCAGTTCCTTTTTGGATACTGGTCTTCCAGGAACCCAAGTCAGCTTCCATGTGGGGGGGGGAGGACAATTCCCTTTTGAACTGAGTCACAGCGGGCCCAAAAGACATGGGCTGGGAACAGATGAATCATCCTCCTGATTCTAGAGTGCAGTTCGAGGATACTTCACTTTCAGGAGCAGTACCCTGTTCATCCACCAGAGATTTGACAGTCCGGGAGAACACTCTCCTCGCTTCGAACAGCCGTACGGCCTTTGCTCCAACCAGTTTTTTTTTGTGCGGACTTAATCCCGACGTCCCGGCGATCTTCCATGGCTTGCACCCATCCTTGTGGTTTTGTTTTGCAACAGCCCCAAAAGAATCAGCTTCCTTCAGTTGGTGGTTTGGATTGGTGGTTTTGTGGTTAAGGAAGAGTTTCCCATAGCCCTCCACAAGATCCATGTTTTCGGACCAAATCCAAACCACCAATCCAAAGCACAATTAGAGGGAAGCTGGGAAAATCCTAATCCCTGAGATGAATGAGAAGTACAGCATGAGACTTTGGTCACGACCATCGAAGTGTCGCGTTTCCAGATGCAAGGCCAGCTTCTTCTCGAGGGGATCGGTGACTTGCTTGGAGTGATTGGTCACCGCCCCTTTCGCCGTAAGGACTCGTACGGATGCTCGAGATTCTGCGGGGATGGATCAACCTGGTTGAACAACCAGACGAAGCCGTATCAACTGGTGCACTTGCAAGCGTGTTCAGAAAACCATGACCGTGACCCAAGTGCAAGATGATGCGCATCCTTTGACTAATGAATCGTCTACTGTAAGAACCTTCACTGGGGAGTGGATTTCGAGGATCTGTACAAACCTGTTTGAGCATGTGGCTTAAGGGTACCCTTTGCACTTTGGTTACAAAAAGAACCAAAAGGAGACGCGTACCCGCTCTGGAGAAACATAGGTTTTCTTTGGGTTTCCATTTAACCAAGGTGAGTCCACCACGTTGCGAAGCTCCAATTTGGGTGCCTGGACCCTCAAACTACCTCTAAAATGGGATAGTACTCCCGAATTTGGGGGGGGTGAAGGGTCCAGGTCCAGGTGTGTTTTTGTTTGAGGGTACCTCCCTTGGCTCCGAAGGGGAAGGAACCCCACCCCCCGAAGCCCATTCGCTCGGATTTGTGTTTTTCCCGGAGGTCCAGCTTCTGCGTCCGGTGGAGGATGCGCAGCCCCTGTGCCGCCTGTCGCCGGGGCCCACAGATCGCGCAGCATGCGTAGCAATCGCCATCGATCGATCGATGCCCTGGTTGGAGTATCTCACTCGCAAAAAAGCGAAATCGATGTTATAATTCAGGGTACCCTTAATTGATTGTTTGGATTGGTGATGTGGGCAATTGAGCCCTTGCTTCTTGTTCAGGGTGAATGGGACACACATCCTTGACCACCAAACCACCAATCCAAACCACCAGGTGGATGGAAGCTAGTCAACTTTTTAGTTGCCCCTTTGCGGCTTTCGGCTTTTCCGTTTTTTGTCATGGCCCCAAAAGGTCCACAACTTGTATTTCTGGGTCCAATGAGGTAATTGAGGTATTGGTCTCCAATGATCTCATTTCCCCAAAACCCCGACCTGAGCTTTTGGCTTCCTTCGTCCATCTTTCGTCCGGACAGATCACCTTTGATTTCTGTGTCCGTGGGGAAGCCATCCTGGAGGCACAATCAAAACCGATTCGGGCAGATGAAGGTTTGTAGGGGTGTGGCCACCTTCTCAGTTCCTGGCGTTGGGCAGACCATTTAAATAGCAGATTTTGATTATGATTCACTCCCCTGAACATGTCTGTGTCCAAGGGGCAAATGAGTTATGATGGGAGATTCGGAATGTGGACTATGGTCTCATTTGAAACTATTCTGCATTAGGTATATTGAATATATTGTTCATCAGCAATACAAATTTGAGTTGAGGCAAAAGCTGGTTGGGGGCAGGGCCAATGCTCTTGGGTTGGTTTATGTTTACTTGCTTTGCTTGCTTTGCTTGCTTTGCTTGCTTTGCTGGCTTGCTTGCGTGCTTGCTTGCTTGCTTGCTTGCTTGCTTGCTTGTAATTGCTTGCTTGTAATTGCCTTGTTGTTTGTTTGTTTGTTTGTTTGTTTGTTTGTTTGTTTGTTTGTTTGGCTGTCTCTATCTCTGTCTTCGCCTCTGTCTCTGTCTGGCCTGTCTGTCCCGTCGTGTCCTGTCCTGTTGCGTGTCTATGGTTGTTTATGGTTGTTTATGTCTGTTTATGTCTGTTTATGTCTGTTTAATTCTGCTTGTATTTGTTTATGATTGTTTGTCAGTTTACGTCTGCTTATGTTTGGTTGTGTTGGTCTATATCTGCTAAAGTGTGTTTATTCCTGTAAACTATGTATGTTTATGTGTGTTTATGCCTGTTTATGTATGTTTCTGTCTGTTGTGTCTGTGTCTGTCTGTGGCTGCCTCTGTCCGCCTTTGTCCATGTCTGTCGGTTTCCGCCTGCTTCTGGCTATTTCTGTCTGTTTCTGTCTGTTTCTGCCTGTCTCTGTCTGCCTCGGTCCGCCTCTGACCGTCTCTGTCGGTTTCTGGTTGTTACTGTCTATTTCTGTCTGTGCCTTTCTTTCGGTGTCCGTCCGCGTCGGTCAGCGTCGGTCAGCGTCTGTCTTTGTCTGTCCGTGTCTGTCTGCGTCTGTCTGCGTCTGTCTGTGTCTGTCTGTGTCTGTCTGTGTCTGTCTGTGTCTGTCTGTGTCTGTCTGTGTCTGTCTGTGTCTGTCTGTGTCTGTCTGTGTCTGTCCGTCTTTGTCCGTCTCTGTCTTTCTCTGCCTGTCTGCGCCTGTTTCTGGCTGTTTCTGTTTCTGGCTATTTCTGTCTGTTTCTTCTTGTTTCTGGTTGCTGTCGTTAGTTTTGTTCTTTAAACAAGAAAACAACTAAACACATGTTGTTCGGCGATGTTCGGCGTTGTTTGATTTTGTTCACTGATTGGATGGATTGGATTGGATTGGATCGGATTCGATTGCGTGCATGAGTGAGTCAGTCAGTCGGTCGGTCGGTCAGTCAGTCAGACAGTCAGTGAGTCAGTGAGTCAGTGGTGAGTCAGTGAGAGAGCGGCTGGCTGGCTCTGGTGCTGGCTCTGGTGCTGGCTCTGGCTGACGTTTGGCTGGCGTCTGGCTCCGGCACAATATATGTTATTCTCCCCTCTTGGTTTGAAGAGAATGTTAAACTGCATTTCGTTTCTCATTTTGCCAGGCCGTATTTGCAAACAGAAGTCAACAAAACAGCTTTCTTCAAAATTCGCAGGGGAGTGCAGTGGCAGTAGCCGAGGGGTTTCATCGGATATGATAGGCATTATCTAACGGGTATATATCCCGTTTGGCCCAGGGTAGCGGCTTGGGGGTGGAGACCAGTTTAGCTGCTTCACTTTCGTACTTCGAAGTTCCATGGGGGTCCTGGAATTCTTAGTTGGTGACGGTCCTTGGTGCGTTTCTGAATACTGCGGGTCTATTTGAGTGAAGCACCCTCAATGCACAAACAGAAGGCTGCAAAGGGGGCCGGGTCCTGTTTGGTCTCCATTTGCCTTGGTGTGCCTTGGTGGGTGCATGGAGTCTCCATGACCCTTTAAAAATGGGTCAATGACCCCATTATTTTGGGTAACGACCCCATTTTTTAAGGGTCATGGAGACTCCAGGTACATGGACTGTTATGGCAAACTAGGGCCTCAGCACGGTCCTGTTTTGTATCCATTTTCCTTGGTTTACCTTGTTGCGTACATGGAATGTGACGGAAAACTAGGGCCTCACGGGGTGGTCTTGCGGAAACCCACACCCCGCCCCACCCCAAAACCAAAAACGGGGGGAACGTCCGAGCCGCCCCCCGCCCGAGGGCCGGGGAGTGCTTTGGCGAGCTGTCGTTGTTGTACAACACGCCCGCGGGCCCAGTGCGTGAGATCCATTTGCTTAAGAAGTTGTTTTTTGTTTAAATCGTCTGTTTTGTTTTTTCAAGGGAATCGATTTCATTGCTGGTTTTTTGTGTTTTTTTTTCTCCAGGGTCTTAGCCAAATGGAAGATGAGATCCCTCGAATGCTCCTTTGCTTGGTGGTTTTCAGCCAGCCGGTCCCTGAGGCTGTTTAGTTGTTTTTAGCTGGTGAGATGTGGTTGGGTTTCCATTTCATCCATTCTTTTATTAGGGGGTGAACCCAAAGGAAGTACGCTAGATCTTTGTCTTAAACAACAAGCGTTGCCGTGCCATTGTGTTTACCAAGCCACCAAGCCCAAAGCCAAGAACCCGAAAATGCCAGATGTCGTCTTGGGAAGACTGTTTAGGGGCACCAAAAAGCTCAAAGACTTGTGTTACCCATGGATTTGGAGGCGTTTGATGCAAGAATCTCTTTCTTTGGAGCAACAGAATCCCAACAAACGAAGGAAGTTAACATGACGCATGGTTTGGCCTGCTCGCTTGGCTGCCAAGGATGCTTCTGAACCTTCTCCACCTATGTCAGCCATTACACGGGATGCCGCCAGACGGTTGAATATTTACACCATGTGCTTTTGGTTCCCTTCAGACGGGAGGGGTTGTTTAACAAATGCTTGCCCCAACCCTTGTGGGAAAGCGACTCCTCACGAATTACAATCTATTGCTGTTTCAAGGACCCCCCGTAGTTTTGATCAACCCGGCTCAAAAACTGGCCCCTGGAGTTGTTCCTTTTTGGGGCGCTTAGAATTTCCCTCAGTGTTCTTTTTTGGATTCGGCCCGGGTCCCGGGTACAAGAGCGAACGGTTCCCACGCTTGGGCTCGAGACCCAGAGTTTTGTTTTTTGTTGATGGGGGCCCCCCTTTTTCAGGGGTCCCTATATTTCCCTTGTTGGTTGTTTTAGACATCACCTTTTTGGCCCATGAAAGGTGAGTATCCCTTGGTGGGGGGTAATGTGTTAAGGGGAACTATAGGGAGCCTTTTTCAGTGGGTCGCTGGTTAGTTGGTGGACCCTCAAACTTCAAACTATCCCTCAAGATGGGTTACCGTAGCCCATAATTTCAGCGCAGTAACCCATTCTTAGGGTTCACTTGAGTGTCTAGGTGGTTTTCCTAGGGGTTGATTCCCCATTTGTCAACCATCGTTCTTTTCAATAACCAACTGTTTTTTTTCCAGGGTTTTCAGTGGTATTCTAGGAAGGATCCGTGGAAAGAATGGGGAAGCTACCCCCTAGAAACCCACCGATTCGGCGAACCTCCGAGTCGGCACCTGGCAACCTGCAAATCCGTGGAGCCTTCCGTGGCCCCAGCCTCAGCTCCCGTGGCCAGAGTCGGTACCTGAGTCACGTGCTCAAAACCGGGAAGGGGAGAATCCCAACCATAAAAAATGGGTGCCGGGATTTTGTTCTTTACATTCTGGGTAGATCATTTCAATACTGGTTATACCAGGTTTTGATTATGACTCACCTGGTTTGGTAAAACCTAAAGGGTGGAGGACAGTTGTTAAAAGAAAAAAGGACACCACCTAGGAGGGGTCCCCGATTTTTAGAAACACCCATGTAAAGTTTTGCCATCTTAGAACCAACAGATGGGTGACACGGGCGCTCAATGTTCAGAGGAGGTCGCTCGTGGTGACCTATACACTTCTTTAAATTCCTCTGACCCCAACCAAGCAAGGGGGAATATATTTTATAGAACCCAAAGCTGGAGTCAGATTCCGACTAAAAAAATGAGAAGATTGGTTGGATTCCCCTGGTTTTGCATACTGAGTTCTTGGGGCCCCTAAGCAAGATGTATCGCATTTTGTCGCCGGAGGACAATCGACTGAGTCGGTGTGATCCTATCAATTAAATCTGCGATGGGGCGGCATTGACCAGTACTTGAGCATCTTCACACCCGTAAAAAATGGGCATTGAATGGCAGAGGGGGGGATGCCAGGAACTCGATTTTATGGTTCCCCTCCTTCTTGAGGTAGTAGGGGGGGGGTACTTGAACAACATAAAGGATCGGCGCGGTGCGAACTCCCCAACCCGCTGGTGCGTCGCGAAAGCGAGTCGAACGCAGCAACTTGGGTCGCCTTTTTTGTGTGGGGAGTCAAGCAAGATAGCCGTGCGAGGAGCATTGGACCAGGAATCGAAGACCTTGCTTAAACTTGGTGCACATGTGATAGTTGACCTAGTCGGCGATCGGAACAAATGGACACTCTACCGTGAGACAGGCTGTCTGGGTAAACCACCTTCCAGTTTATCTTCAGACTCTGGCTTGGCTTGTCTCACCAGACACAACGTTCTTGGGACCTCAGTGAAAGCAACTCTAAGAAGTGAGCCACAAGAATCCTTTCACTTGGTCTCACGCACTGAATTCCGTCTCGGACTTTGTATGTTTTGGGTTTGGACCATTTTAGTGGCAAACAACCAGTTCTTTTTTGGCAACAATCCATGCGATCGGAAGTGGAGTTGGTGTTGATGGTCATCAAGCCCCGAGGTCTTAGACACGCATCATAGTGTGGATGGAAGAACTCCATTTCGCACCACTTTGAAACCATGGTTGAAACCATTGTTTGTTGGTAAGAACAGGGAATCAGACCCATTCCAGGCTGAACGGTGGCGCGAGAAGCGAGCCGATTTCGCAGCCATCCACAGTACGACCCACTTGGAACCCAGTTGCCCAGTTGTGCCCTGTTGTCCTTTTTTCGGGGAAGGGTTCGCCTTTAAAGTCAACCAACCAGAAAAGGATGCCCTTTTCTCCCCTGGCCACTGGGCATCTGACGGAACCTTTTGAGACCGTCCGTGCTGACTGCCGCCGGTGCTAGGTCTATGCCGTGCCTTACCAGGTCTTCAAGCAGTGCTCGTCTCGGATGCCGCGCAACCACCGGCAACCGTTTTTTCCTAGGGTTCCCAAGGCCCCCTTAAAAAGAACGGCTTTCAGACCCAAATTGGATGATGGCAATCCTTAGGCAAAGAATGGTGGTGAAATATGAACCCAACCACATTGTAGTGGTGGGAACTGAACCTCAGGGTTTCCGGTTGCTAGTCCTTTTGGGCTTCGGGGCACGAGAAAACCCCACTGAACTGCCCAAAAAGCAACCGGGGAAGAGCCCCTATTTTTTTCCCGTGAACCAGGACAGTTGTCTGTGGCTATGATCAATGGATATGCTTTTTGCCCCTATCGGTTTTCGGTGGCCCCTATCGTTTTCTAGTGATATTGTCGAGTACTCATATCCGGCCACAAAAAGCGTATACGATATGGCCATTTGGGTGTGTGTCCTTTTTGGACCACGAAAATGTGATGGTGTTCCTCTTGGTTTCCCTTGAAATCCACCGAACAGGGCTAGCCTCACAACCAACCCGCAGTTAGGGGAAATTTCTGGCAGCTTGGCTTCAGATGGGACCTGCCCCAGCGGTAAAATGCGTGCAGGTTGCAATTGCAACCCTGCATCAGTGTCTTAGAAAGTTTTCTTTGTCAGCTTTTGGCTCCCTCATTTTTGGCTGAATCAAGAAGTCAGCTTTGGTTTCACAGGCTCTACATTTGATCAAGGCCCCTGGAAAAGGGCCCGTGTAGAAGGGCCCTTCTAATACTTCTTCCATTTGCTTATGAAGGGCCCTCTTGATTTTAACGGGGATCTATCACTATATCACCACTGCAAGTTGTTGCTTATTATTATTCTTCTTTATTACTGTATATTATTATTACTACTTTCAAGGGGATGTATTCGCAAACGGAGGAATGTAGCAAATGGTCAAACCCTAATCGCTTCCGTCCCGTGTTCCTGCGCTTGCAGGTGCTTCGGCAAGCGCGAGCGGCCGCAGGCCCGACAGTGGGAGAAACCGATTTGGGCAAATGAAGGTTTGTAAGGGATCATCCCCTTGCCAGCAGTTGGTGCAGCCGACTGTTTTTTTTTCATTTTTGTTTACATGTTTCTGGGTACCATTTTTATTACCGGGTTTTGATGAAGACCCACATGTCCCCTTGGGCTACCCTTCCCACTTTGCACCTGGCCTGGCACAGCCAGTACAGTACCTCAAGGGGACCGTTTTTGTCATGCAGGTGCAGGGAGGGTAATGCGCACCCCGGATGTTTTTGAAGCCCGGCTTATTGTGGGGGTGTTCCCATCCAGAAGGGATGAACCCCCACAAAAATGCCAGGGACACCATCTTAGGAAGCACCTCGCCCTCAAACTATCTTAAAACTGGGCTACTGCCCTAAAATAATTGGATGCCAACCAATTTTCCGGGGTAGTTTGAGGGGTGCAGGTAGGAGTTTATTCATCCTGGGCTGACATCTTGCCTAGCTCCCCCAGAAGTGCGCTTCTCTATCTTTTTTTGGTTGGGAGGGTTCCCCTACTAAAATAGACAAAACCGAAGAACAATGGGTACCTACTTATTCTAACCTCTCTACTGGAGGACCTAGATGCTATTCGGATGAACATGACTCGACCGCCTTGGCGAACTCCTGAGAGGTTCAGGCGTGGATCAAGCTGTTGGATGAGGCCGGGAGCGGAATGTCAAAGTCGCGGACCGGGCACTGGGATTTTCTGGTTCGAAAGGACCGCGAGAAAACGCTGTAAAACCTCGAGATGTGGATGGCAACTCGAATTCTGGGGATCATTTGTAAGGTCTACATGAGAATGAAGCACAAATTGGTTGGTTGGTTTCAGGTATGGCAACCTGAGGCAGGTGGTTCTTTTCTGGTGCGTTCCAGGTGAACTTCCTGAACCCGCTGGTGAGGTCGGAAAGGGCAGAGGCTCCGCCTCCCGGCTTTCGCAACCGCGCGGGAGGGCGGTTTTCGGAAGCTTTTCGAACCGCGAGAGGGGCTGGGAGCGAAGGGAAAAGGACTGGGCCCCCCAAAAGACCGCCTATCCCCAAGAACTCACTCAAGTTTCTAGAAAAATATTTTGCATCGGCCCGGGACTTCCGTGAATGTGCCCTTGAAAACCAAACCAGGATTGGGGTCCCCCTATTTGGTCCAAGTCCCTAGCTCCAGACACACCGAATTATACTAGTGATGTTGGTTGAATCCTCACCGGCATCAGATTGCCGAGTCTATCCTCAGCAGCCCAAAGCAACTAAGCCGGATCCAACCTTTGGATTTCCCTGATTTGGTCCATAGCAAAGGTGTCAAGGTTTTAAACGGTTACCCTTCCCAGCAACATAGCATGTGTGGGAGGGTACCTGGAGATCAGTGTCCAAAGGAAACAAGCAATTTTTGGGGGGAGTCCCAAGAAGAGACACACTCATGTGGTCCATGTTTCGTCCAGGTTCCGAAAGGTGATTTATACTGGACCCTCAAACCCTTAAAAATGGGCCACTGCCCCCAAATTCTGGGCATCTGTTCCCACTTTTTCGGGGTAGTTCGAGGGTCCAGGCTCGTTTTTCCAGCGCCAAATTTCTGACCCCGTTCTTCGTATCAGATCGCCGACCAAATTTATTCTTGCGCGTCAGGTGGCCCGAAACGCGGTGGGGCAAATGAGCCGGGAGCTGAGCGATGATGGATCGATCGCCAGCGGGGCGGCAGCTCGTTCCTTCTTTCTTTTCAAGGGAAGAGCTGATAGCTAGGTCTGGGTGTCTTTTTTCAGTGGTACCACAAGGTTGGGGTTGGTTTGAAGGGAAACCAAAAGGAAGCCGCCCAGTTGGGGGGGTCCCTGTGTTGAGGCAAACCCATATCCAGTTCCTTTGTGTTTTTTGGAGTAATCCGTTCAACTACTGCAAATCACGTACCCCTGAATTGGTGGTTTGAGTTGGTGCTTTGGGGATTTGAACCCCTGGTTCTTGTAGAGGGCAATTTATAAACCACCAAACCGCTAATCCAAACCACCAATTAGAGGGAAGCTGAGCAAAGGGTAGCATTGTTTCGCCACCGAAGGTCCGGTTGCAAAGAGGAGCGAAGCCTGATCTTGCGTCTGTTGGGCTGTCTCATCAGCTTTGTTGGAGGCCTCTCATATACAGGGGGCGGGGGGGCTGGGGGGTCTGTGTAGATTTGATGCCACCTTCGAGGTGGATCTCTTCAAGCTGTGCTTTGGCCGAACGAGCCTTCGTCGTTCGTTTGGACCAGGTTTCGCACGAAAAGCCATGCTTAAATGTAGGATGAGTGAATGCCTCCTTTGAACCTTTACCCTGAAGTAGCACACTGCAAACTTTTTGTTGATACGGATGTTTTTGATACCCTAGGAAAGGGGCAACCGTTTCGAACGTCCGTTTTTGTTGGGCGAGCCAACCGGAGGCTTACATTTAGGGTCTCAGCCCTGGACATGTCGCTCAGCTTGCTGCCTGGAGCTTTCAGCCCGGACCGTGTTTTTGTTGACCCATCTTTTTTTTTTTTTTATAATCAAAGGCACCGCATTTTTGCGTGTTGGAAGAGAAAGCCAACAGGAAGACCACCATTTAAGGGGGATCCCCTACAAGGTTTGTTGGGCCTCCAAAACTATTGCATACAAATATGCAATAGAATGATCTTGATCAGATAATATGGCATCTTCTCTGTACCTGGACCCTCAAACTACCCTCAAACATGCGTTCTTACCCCCCTTATTCTGGTGTCAAAACTCATTTTTATGTCAAGTTTGAGGTCCAAGCACGATGTTTTCTGAGGACCTGATGCATTTTGGTACATGTTTTCTCCCCCGGCCGGCGAAAGCGCCAAACCTTGAGGCTTTAAGCCCGGCGAGTGGGCGCCCACCTCGGTCACCTGGGCTGTGGGCGAAAATGTCGGGGTGTTTTCTCACCAACCGAAAAGAGTTGACCCGTGGTGATCAAAAACCGGGGAACCCCCGAGGGGTAAAACCGCTCGGTAAATGGAAAGGGAGTAAAACGTGTCGCCTGGTTTCATTGTGAGCCGTACCCATTTTGCACGCTGTTCCCCATTAGTAGAACAGGGGTTGCTGGATTTCCCCAGATCTCAAGTTGATCAATTTACTGGTGGTTTCCATTGAAACGATTGGAGTCCACTTTTGGAGCAACCCTTTAAAGACAAACACGGCTCGGACCCTGTAGAAGAAGGAGCCCGCAAAACCACAGTTGTTGAACCAACACACTTTAAGTAGAAAGGGCCCGGGTGGTTGTTTTCCTGGAACCAAGTTTTGGTTGTTCCACCATTGTGAGTCACTTGTGGCAATGGCAGGGTCGGACGGTTTGCAACCCTGGGTTCCAAATTGGAGGCCAAACAGTCTATCTTCATCGACCAGTCAAAGCGGATGAACATAAAAGTCTGACCCTCCCACCAACTAACATGGAAGTGCAAAAAGGCCCTTTCCAAGAGGAAAGTCGTTTTTTTATAGGGGTCTGGTGGGAGGGTAAGGGTCCTGATAGAATTTGGGTCCCCTAATCAGCTTGTACGGGGACCCCCCGGGGTCTGCAGCCTAAGCCCCAGGAGCCTGAGGGTAGCTTTACGCAAATCGAAAGTTCGGAGTGCCAGCTGTGGTCAATCAGGGGTTGCCCTGGATGCAGGCCGTAACTTTTGGAGGACGGCCCAGTACTTTGTGGGTTGCCATTCACAACTCGACTTTTAAAACGGAGCCTTGAGGGGATGTGTTTATTGTTATTATTATTATTATTAGTATTATTATTATGATTATTATTATTATTATTAGTATTATTATTATTATTATTATTATTATTATTATTATTTTTATTATTATTAGTAATAGTATTATTATTATTATTTATTATTATTATTAGTAGTAGTATTAACTATTATGTTTAATTATTATTATTATTAGTATTATTATTATTGTTGTTGTTATTATTGTTATTATTGTTATTATTATTATTATTATTATTATTATTATTATTATTATTATTATTATTAGTAGTATTATTATTATTGTTTATTATTATTATTATTATTATTATTATTATTATTATTATTATTATTATTATTATTATTGGTATTATTGTTATTATTGTTATTACTATTAATATTGTGATTATTATTAATTATTTTTAATTGTTATTATTATTACTATTATTAGTGTTATTATTGTTGTTTTATTATTATTAATATTGTATTATTAAAATCAAAAAATCAATAACGCGGCTGCAAGCTTTGGGATCATTTGTGCACACACCCTAGAGAAACTCGTCAACTTGCTCGACCTTTGTGATTGGATCTTGGATGCACTTGGTTCCTCCTGGGCATTGGGGTTATCTTTTTGTGGGAGGATGGCCCATCCACGTAGCATGCATGTGTTCATCTTCTCAAACTAAACCTGGGGTTCCGCTCAAGGCAGAGATGACCCTGGTTGGATGGACTTCCCAAGGCGAAACCTGGCGTTGAGTCCCTTTTCAGTGTTGAGTGGGGTTCCTTTGGTGGTGTTCCAAATGGGTGGTTTCCCATTTCGCCTCTACAGAAGCCAGGGGTTCACATCCACAGACCACCAATCCGAACAACCAACCTTTGGTGCATTTTGCTTGGATGCTAGGACTTTAACTTTTTGCCAACTAATGGGTTTTCCATGAAACCACTAAAGGTTAAACTTCTAGCAGGGGATCTGAGGACAGCCCAGCAACCAAGACGAGTTCTCGGCGCACAGGTCATGACGCAGGGCGAGATGACAGAGCAGCTTTGGTTCGTTGTCGAGAAGGGTGGCGCGGAGACCCAAAGGCATAGGTGTCCTTTTTGGTTGGTTTGTCTGGGGTCATCATTTTGACGGTTTCTGGGGATTATGGAATCGGTTATTTCCCTTTAACCCACCACTTAGGGGGTGACTTTGATCATGGAACATAGTGAAGCCAGTTTGTTTAAAACATACAGGGCGATTCCTGGTTTAGACGGGGTTGATGCCCCATTTACCAGGGAAACCCATCTATTTTTCCAAAAGGCCACCTATGCCCAAAGGGGTGATCCTGAGGTTGTTTTGGGTCACCTGCGCAACCCTTTTTTTGCGCTTCAGGGCCGTCTGTAGCTCATCACTTCTGTGAGAGGCCAAGGGAATCGTTTTTCAATTGCCAAGGGGATTCGCAACCGCAGCTTCTCCTTCCCTTCCGATCAAAATTAGGAAGTTTCTCGGATGGTTGAAAGAGAGAAGGGCCCCCTAGTTTTGAGAACCATCCTTTTTCTTGGCGTGTCTTTGAGGTACCCCCTGGTGGGTTTAAAAGGACACCCTAAGGGGAAGACCGAAGCCATTTTCTGGGGTCCCCTAAAAGAGGACACGACATGCTGTAAGCGTTTCTGAAGTAGAAGCAGGGTTGTGGGATCATTCGGGGTTTCTCCAAGTACTTCTGTGATACTTTTGGGAATCCCCCTTTCTATGAACACAATAGTCTTTGGAAAGCCCTTCCCGTTGTAGTATCACAGAAGTGGTCATTCCCCACAGCCCTGAGTAGAAGCAAACCTCCAGTCAGAGCGAAGTTTTCGCTGTGGGTCCCACGCATTGGAATCCTTGTGTGACATTTACATGTACTTCAGCATGTTGGCGATCGATCTGGTGGCATATTGGCGTCTCTCATCGGTGCACTCAGGGCAACATTCAGATACTCTGCAATATGTGCCCCCCCTACTCAAGCGCCTCTTCTTCTCGCTTCCTGGCTTCCTGCACTGGAAACGTTGAGGGAGACCATTTTGTCGACCAACAGTTTGGACCTTTGGCCCCATGTACGCAGGAAGTTTGTTTGTATTTCAGGTAAGCCTCAAGTGGTGCTTTGGATTTGGATCTGAAGCTCTGGTTGAGGGTCAACGGGAGCCCAACCAAAGAACTGATCCAAACCACCAATTGAAAGGAAGCTGATTCTTTGTTTCTCCCCAGTTACTTGGAGACCTGGCAAGAGAGTCTTGGAGTCTTAGAGACTTGAAACAGACGGGTCTACCTGAAAGGTCCTTGATTCAATAACTGTTTCTAGAGTAGGTTCAAGGTGTCAAGATTTGACCATGTTGCGACCTAAAAAAGGACCAAAACCGAAGAATAGACGACAGTTGGCCGTGCCAAAAACCAGGGGACCTCAACACTTGTGGTTTTCGCATTGTTTTCTCAAAAAAGTCAACCCCACAGAAGGGGCAAAAGCACAACACGACAGACCCAAACAGAATATGGTCCCCTCAAATGGTTTCTGTTTGGTTTCGGTTCAACTACCAAACAAAAGGGGTCGAAGTATCAAGCTTTTTGAGGTTTCCTTTGGTTTCCCTTTTTCAGGACCAACGTCCTCCCCTTCCGATCGATCTGCTGAACACTGTAGCCATCCCTGTTGAATGCCAAAGGGCCTGACAAATTTGAGCTAAAAGCTGCATCCCTCTGGTTTTTGTGGGGCCGATCACATGGAACCTGTGCAAGGGGTGTTAGGTTCCCGGAAGCGTTGCCCGCTTGCAGGCTGCAATATGATGCGCAAAGACTCAGCAGGCGCAAGGGCTTCGTATCACCGAGAAAGACAACACAGGTCGGGGATCAAAATATGAGTTTCCCCAAAGCCCGAGATCCCGAACTTACTTTTTGGGGCTTGCCTCACACAAGGAAACCTTAATCGATTCATGAAACAGTAGGATCATGTTTGTTTTGGGCATTTGCGTTGGCGAATGAGGGAGCTCATTTGGATCTTTGGACCTTTTGACGCCTACTGACCTCCGAAGTCTTTCTGGCCCCTTGGAACCAGGAGACGCCATTGTTCCTAAACCAGAAACTGCTCCCCCCCGCCGGCAGATGTTGAAACTAGCCCTGCTCCTGGCGTATTGGCGAAGGCCTTGAACTTGTATGGGCGAAGTCATCTCAGATTGGAAACAAGGGTTGGAAAGAACAGACATCGGGTTGGGAATGTAAACTTTGGCCCTTCTGAAATGTCAAGGGTAGTTTCGTTTAAAGGGTTTTGGAGGTACGGAGTATACCAGTTGCAGGGGTATATACTGCCTAACAAGCTTATATGTGGCATACAAGCATCCATACCTCGAAAACGCATACCTGAAGATGCCCTTGAACATGGACTTCCACTTGGCAGAGTTGGTCACAAGCAACGAGCTTGCCCACGTCCAGCGCGAGGATGGATCGTCTAGCCATCGTTGCGACGTGGAAGCTAGAAGGTAGCCCTTACCCGGCTCCCTTGCCAGGCAACTCTATGTTATCTTTGGTGCATTTTGCCAAAAATGTTAGGACTTTAACTTTTTGCCAACTAATGGGTTTTCCATTAAGCCACTAAAAGTTAAACTTTTAGCAGGGGAGCAGAAAGCAACCGAGTTATTATATTTACCTCCATTTTTTTAGGCGTTCACGTCGACAGCGGGCGGCCGAAATAGTGGGTAATGGGATACGGGGTTTCGGTTTCTTCTTTGGTTTCCCGGGCAGAAGGCTCCTGGATTTCCTCTCGTGCCTCGAAACTTGCTGGTGCTTAGTAATTACCTGGGCATTCTCTTGAGGAAAACCATAGGAACGGGATGGTCTATTTCGGGGTCCTTCGGACGATCCCAACCATAAATAGCTGCTGCCGCCTTCTTAGCTCTTTACATGTTTCTGGGATTGCGACCGTTTTTGTACCGGGGTTTGATTTATGCCTCATTTCTCATTCCCTACCTATCGCGCCAGCAAGTCAAAAAGAGCCCGGACCCGCCAGGCCAGGTGGAGTTTTCCGCGGAGCTCCGGCGAGGCCGCCCGCGCCCGTCGGTGCGGTGGGCGGTTATTTTCTTCTTCTTATCTTTTCTCGATTTTGCGGGCTGGGACCAAAGCATCGGTGTTTGCGGGCGCCTGGACCTTCAAACTACCCTTAAAGATTGGCGTTTGCCCGAAGCTATGGGGTGATAACCCATGTTGTATTTTTGAGTGTTTTTGTTTTTTTCTTGCGGGTAATCCATTGTTGGTTTGGGGTGGGAATATTGTCGGGAGGTTGGGACTTATTTCAACGAACGGCCAAACCACCTGACCCCCAGAACACCCTGTTGCCTAGTTGGTTTCCCAAACTGCCAAATCTTATGATGAAACCTGTTTAAATTGATATGGTTGATAAGACCAAATGCTGTGGATGGACAGAAGTTTGCACCTGCCAGCCAACCCTGCAAAACATGGATGAACCACAAATCCCACCTGGTCTGAAACGGGTTTTGTCCATCCGCTGTATTTTATGGTAGCAACGGAAATGGCCTACACTCCAGCAATCATGGAAGCTCCCAGAAGGCCTCTGCAAATTGAACCAAGTCTTCCATGAGGGCAATCATGTCCCATCGTCAGAGGCCCCAACAAGGGACCCCCCCACAAGACCCCCAAGCTTCCCTATTCGCCCCAACAAAAAACAGCGTTAGTGGCAAAACAGGCTCGGGGATTGGGGAATCGGCCCTATGGGGCGGGCCCTTGACAACCACAAAGGAGTTTGTTTCTTGTCTGGGCCGCTGAGGTAACCCCAAATTGGTGGTTTGGATTTGGGTTTGAACCCCTTGTTCTTGGATGAGTAGGAAACCACCCCTCTCGAAAGACCTCCAATCCAAACCACCTAGGGGGAAGCTGATGCCTGGAGAAACCTCCCCGGAGGCCACCACTTTGGCGAGCGGGCCATTTTCCTGCAGCAGCACGCGCCCCAGAGATTTTTGGTGAGCCAGATACTCGGACTCTCCAAGAGGACGGTTTGATTTGTTAGACAACATATGAAACAGCATCTGCACAAAAATATTTGGCGTATGCAGATTTGGGCCAAGATCACCCGAGTCATTGTCGTTGTTCGTTTTGCTTGCCCTGCAAAAAAAGCACCCGCGCACCCGCGCACCCAGAAGGCCACGCTCACACGCAGACACAGACACAGACGCAGACACAACAAACACGCACGGCCATTTGGCTGGGGCTCAAAAAAACGGAATTCCAAAATGGAACCCTGGTAGGTGGAAACATGGACCAAAACCTGCGGTTTGCCCCTCCTGTTTAATTTTGAGCCACACCCATTTAGAGTCTTGGGCTCCAAGCTTGCGGATTGGCTGGAGCCGAAGCCAACGTTTGGTTGGGTGAAATCGTATTCCGTTTTTTGTACCTCTTCTCGTGTTGGTTGCCGTCGTTCTTGGCCAACATGCTCCGACAAATATGCACACACGTTGGGAAAATCAAGGCCTTTTCCACTAAACCCCCAAAAAGTTCAGTTCCCACCATTAACTACAACAATGGTTGGGTTAATCTAACCATTGTTTGCCTTAGCGTTGGGGATTGTCATCATCTAAGTTGGGTCCGCTTGGACCATGCTTTTAGTCGGGTAAGGAAATTGTTGGGAGGGGTTTTCAAACGCCTTGCGAGTTGGCGACCATGGCAGATGAATTGGGGGCCAGCCAACCGTCATGCTTCACATTTGAGCCAGGGTGGCATTTGAAACGCTTGGTGACCCAAAGAATTATTCAAGAAATACCAGGTCTCCGGACTGGAATGCGGCGAGACGGCGTACTGCGGCTGTCCACCAGCCTCATGATCAAATCGTAGATGATAGAATTCTACTGTTGTGGAGCAACCCTGATTGCCCAACCCTTTCTCCACTCCGTCTCCCGCTTAAAACTGTCCTGGCCGCAAAAAGGGTTGTCGGGGTATGGGCAGGTGGGGATTGATACAAGGGGCCATTCAGACACGCTATTTGTACCCACAGCCCGTGAGGGTTGCCGTCACCCCCGAATGACCCTTGTCCTGCCCAGGGTTTCGGTTTAGGGTTCAGGCTTAGGTTTAGGGCTTACATTTTGGGTTCAGAGTTTAAGTTTGGGGTTTAGGGTTCAGGTCTAGGGTTCAGGTTTAGGGTGTAGGCTTAGGGATTAGGTTCAGGGTTCAGGTTTAGGGATTAGGTTTAGGGTTCAGGTTTAGGGTGTGGTTTCGGGTTTAAGTTTAGTTTGCTAGGTGACTTGCCTCTCTGCAGGCAAGCTGCTAGTGCATCTCTTAGAAGCTCTCAAGAAGTATCGGCTAGCTTTGTCCGAACGGCACATTCTCAGCAGCCGCCGTCTTTGCCCTAGCGCTTGGCTATAAGTATGGTTATAATTGTTGTTTTTGATTGTGTGATTTTATTTTAAATGATGTATATTTTATAATGAATTCGAGCACGTGGTAGCAAAGGCGGAAAGTGCATCAGTCGGATTAGGCCTCTAAGAAGTCTAAATTCGGGCGTCGGGGCGTTGCTTTGGGGCGCAGGCAACCTTCAGGGGCTGGCCGTATTTGTATGACCATGACGTGGTTTGTTGTAACGTCCCGGACATTCTCAGTCTGACTATCCACCTGGCCCCTCAAACAACCCTTCAAAATTTCAAAACGGGACGTTGCCTCCAAAATTATGGGCGGTGATTTCCCGGTTTCCCGTATTTGTCCGGTAGTTTGAGGGTCCAGGCCAGGATTTCCCTTTGGTGACTCCACCTCGGCGCGGCTTCGAGGCGAGTGGCGGAAGTCACAGTGCAGGCGGGAGCTCGCGACTCCGAAAGGGCCACGTCAGCTGACCCCATGCCGGGGCTCCCTAGTGGTTTTAAACATCACCTTTTTGGCCCAAGGTGAGTATTGTTTGGTGGGGGTGCTGCTTTGAGGGTAAATATAGGGAGTCCTGCACTACCATCAATCGTCACCCAAGTGGTGAAAGGGACGCCCGAGAACCCCCAGGACATGGTTGTTGGAAACATGTTGCATTTTGGCTTATTGTGGTTTAGTGGGAAATCCCATCACTTCACTGCTAAAGTTTAAATTTTGCTCCCCTTCCAACGTCAACCAAGAGGACATGGTCAAAATCGTGGCCCCAGTGTCAGCTTTTTCTACGGGTGTTGGTTGAGTCGCCGAGGTGACGCCGGAGACTGGCTTCAAAGCCAATCCCCAAGCATCTGAAGATTGCGGGTTTGGGTTCAGGATCCCCATGTCGCGAGTCACAATCGAATCCCGGGTAATTGGAGGGTAAGGGGCAAGCAGAGATTGGGTGCGTCCGCCAGATCAATTCTTTACATGGTTCTGGGACTATTCTAAGACCAGATTTGGATTATTACCCATTGAATGTCAGAGTGCGGAGCGGGGTGGACATTGAGTCGGGTATCGTTAGCCTCTCAACAGAAACCACCTGCATATCAATATATGTGTATAAACAAACAAACAAAGAATACACCAAACACATGATCTACTGTACTATGCCATATTGTATGATATTGCATCATACCGTGTATCAGAGTACAATATACGTTGCATCATAGTATTTCCAGCCATACTGGATGGAACACTCCAGCACCACTTTGAAACCATGGGAGACCGTTGTTTGTTGGTATTTACAGGGGAATCATTCAGGGCTTCTTACATGCTGCGAAATGGATTCCGACACCATCCACAGTATTTCCCCTAGGCTTCCCAAGGCCATTAAAAGATTGGTCGAGGTTGCCAGACTTTTTGTTGCCGAAAGACCGTTTTTTGCGCCTGGCCCTGAATATCAATGTGTGTATGCTGATCATTGTGCTTACAATTCTGAAGATGCTTCCAGTCTTCGGCCCGCGAGAAACCCAAGAACCCCGCAGGCTGGCCCCAAGGGCATGCTGGACGCCTCAGCGGTGTGCGCAAAGGGGAGCTGCAATTTTGAGCGGCAAAGCTCGGTCAACACCTCACCTCCCGCGTTTCTGGACTTTAAACTTTTTGGGAAGACCAGGTTGGTGGTAAAAACAAATGGTCAGACTTTTTTCTGGCCAATCCACTCCGGAAGTGAGACACGTCTGCAAGGCGAATAAAACCTGATAGAAGTATCAAGAGACAGTGCTTGACTGTCAAAGACCAGGAACGGGCACGGCAGGAACCTTTCCTAGGCGGGTCGAAGATCTGAGAAGCATACCGGTGGGCGCGTAATCAGTGGCCCTAGCAAAGTGGATCGGTTGCCGTACTGGCAGAGTCGGTTGTCGTACAGCCTCCCAACAATTTGCATAGTGGTTGGCTGTTGGTCTACCCTCCTGTTGTTGCCATGGAACCCACCAGAGAAATGCTCCGGAAGAAGTCGACAGGAGGCTGCGGCGGGAGCCTCGTCCAACTCGTCCTTTGGAAGTCCTAAGTTGCGCGAGTTGAACCAGGTATAAAACGCCGGCAGAGGCTCCCTTTTGGCTCCAAGCCATGGGTGTTGTTTCGGCAATGGTTCAATAGACTCGGGTTCCACTGGTTCATCGCTATGGTTTTTGGGCAACTTTTGGATGCGTCCAGACAAGACTCCTTGGGCCTCTTTCCGTTTAGCTAATTTTGTTCGGGACTCGCTTCCTCTCTTCCTTTCTTCTCCCTCCCTTCTCCTTGCTGCAGCTTCCTTGTTTGCCACCTGGCTGTCTCATTTGGTTGCACGGCCGCATTTTGGCTACAAAGCTTTGCCGCGGAGGCTTAGAAGCCCCACCTACTCCAACCCACCCGACCTACCCGACCTCCCAACCTACCCACCCTACCCAACCTACCCAACCTACCCCATCCACCCACTCCAACCCGTGCCACCCACCCCAGCCCCTTTTCCATCACGTGCCCCCCCCGCTCGGACTGAGCTGAGCATTCATACAACATCCTTAGCTCCCGAATCTCATTGAACAAAGAGCACATCCTTAACGGGTGGTCAAATGCTTCGGACACTCATGATACTTCATTGACCTGAAATGAGGAAGCCCTTGGGACGGGACCTCAACAAACACACCATATGTCTGTTTTTGAGGGTACCCTTTGACTTAAAGGGGAACCAGAAGGAAACAACTATCTTGGGCATCCCCCCCCATTTTGACACATACCCAATGTAAGTCTCTTTTTGAGGCACCCACCACCCACGATTCACCCCCCACCCCACCCCATCCCTAGGGACCCCTTTGGTCGACCAGGTCCGTTTCCCGCTAACAAAAAGCCACTCTGCGCCATGAGCACTCGCCGGGACATCAGTTCGGCAGAGCGGGCGGCTTCAGCGCTCACAGGGTATGTGGCTGGGTCCATGGTGGTTTCTTGGCTTTTGCCCTAGGCCCCACCCGGGGCGAGGGGGAGGGGCGCTTGGGTTGCGTAGATTTGCCTCTTGCGTAGTTCTTCTCTATATGCCCATGTTGGGCCAAGATGAGTTGCATGGTGGGGTGATGTGTTAAGGAGAAACATTGGACACCCTGTAACAAAGTAGGGATTTCATTTATTTATACGTTTTTCTTACAGCGACAGCCAAATTGGACATGACGGGACCGCTGTTGCCCAGTGGCGCCCTTTTCCTTTTTTTGGAGCAGGGTTCCCCTTTAAACTTAACGAACCAAAAAAGGATGCCTGTTTTCCCCGTTGCCACTGGGCATCTGAGGAACGGGACCCCTGGAATTTCAAATTTATAGTTGGCTGATTACTTTATCATGACCCCTTTATTTTGGGTAACGACCCCATTTGTTACGGGTCATGGAGACAGGTAGCGATCCCTTCTCAACTTTTGGGGGTCAAAGACCAAGCCGGGTGTACTTTGCCCAGGATTCATGTCCTGAAGCCGAGGGCAGCTTGACGTGCGAAGTGCAGTGGTTCAATGACAGGCCCTTTGCCGCCCTCGCCCCGCAATTTGTGCACTTCGCCCGTGGAATCAGACAAGATCAGAGAATTAGCAATGGATAAAATCAGGTATCGGTTTTGGGTAGTTCTTCGATGTCTGCAGTTTCGCGGGTTGGGTATCGGTTTTGGCCACTCCCGTGTGGGTTGCTTGAAATGTCAGCTGCTCCTCTGGGGATCAAGTTTAGTTCACCCAACACTTCCAGTCTTTCGCGCGCTTAGGCGTTCTTTTCTCAAATACGAGGTGAATACATGAACTTGAGCTTATCTTTTAGATTTATATTTTGAAGTTATTTGGTTTCTAACCTAAGGTGTTGAAGCCAAATTCTTTGTGAGTGAGTTAGGAATTTTTAGTTTATGAATTTGTATCGAATTGGATAATGTTTTTCTTCGACTTCTGGTTTAGTTTTCTCTTGCTTTTGTTGGTTTCCAAGCGCGTGGCCATTCGCCAAGCAACAAATGCAGTCAGTGTTGTTCTTTAGACAGGTTCCGGTTTTACCACTTTTGGAGGCGAACACCCCCACATGAATCAACTGGGGTCGATTAATATGGAGACAACAGTAGGTTTCTTACAGAAGCCGAACCAAGATTCGACCCTACACCCTGAACCTTAAACACAAAGCATCCTTAAAGCCCTAAACCCTAAAACCCGGCCGAAAGACCCTGAATAAGCTACACAAAGATTAAGCTTTTAAAAAACGGAAACCCTAACCCCCTTATTCATAAACTGGGGTTGAGTAATATTGGGTCAACATCATCTGCTGCCAGAGCTCGCTTGGTACAGAGCGCCAAGCTCAGGAGTGCGGAGGAAGGCCCTTTCGATTTGAGTTTCCGAAGAGTTCGCGATTTGGATGGCCACCGGCAACATGCAATGTGAGTCCTAGAATTGGGCTGCGCTGGTCGGCCGGTGGGGCTAGGCTTGTTCAACAAAACAAGAGTGAGACACGGTTCTACATGTACATGTGTACAACACTAGTCATGAGTTTGTTTGTGGGCCCGCCTTTGTGCCTCTCAGGTTGTTCCGTTTGACCGGGTCAAGACGCTCATGCAGGCAGGATGCGCTTCCGATTCCTTGCAGGATGCTGGCAAGTTGTAGCTTGTGGCGAGCTGACGAGGGAAGACTTGCTGGTGCTCAGTAGGGAATGACCCAGGGTTTGGGAATGAGCCTAGGGATTCCCTTAAAAGGAAGTTTGTTTCGCGGGGGCCATGCTCTCATTCCCTGAGAACCAGCAGGAGTCATAGTAGGGAAACCTGGCGAATTGGCGGCTTTCCTTTCGGTCTCCCGTTTAAGCCAAGCTAAAGGATATGGCCATGGGTCAAAATCCCGTACTGCCAGGCAACATCCCAATCCAACCACTAGAATAGGTTCCAAAATGGGTGGTGAGTTCACCTACCAACCAAAATAAAATCCCGTTGGTTTTGACAACCACAGCCCCATATGGGAGGTTGCCATCCCAAGCAAACCCTGCGCCGGTCTTGGTGGAGTCTCGCCGAAATGGTCGCCAAAGGGGCCCTAATTAGAGTTCACGCCTCAGACACTTTGGTGCACGTTGCCAAGGGATGTTAAGACTTTAGCTTTTTGCCAACTAGTGGGTTTTCCGTATTAAACCACTAAAGTTAAACTTTTAGCAGGGGAGCAGAAAGCAACCGAAGATCGGTGTGCAGCTTCGCAAGTTGCAGGTCGAAGTCTTGCCCTTTTGTTGCTCAGTTGCCGCTCCCAGTAGCCCATTCCAGTTCCCACTATAGCATCAGAATTTCCCACGGGACTGGTGGAAGAACGAAGGTACGCCTTTCCAATTCCTTCAAACATCATTTGAATCAATTCACCAAGCATGAATTTTAGCTAAACAGAAGAATCAACATGGCCTTCCCAGCTCCTTCTTCCTACGCGTTTGCCCCCCGTCCCCCCTCCGCGGGCGCTCGGCTCACAGGCCCATCCTGGCACTCACTCCTCGGCCACCAGCGTGGCGCGCCACGTCTTCCGCCAGGATGGCCTGCGAGGTCTCTACCGCAGCTCGGCAGTTCGCCGCGCGGCGCGCGCGTGCGGCGGATCGGCGGATTGCGGGGGGGGGGATGGTGGGGTGGTTGAACTGTCGCCCGTGGGCTTTCGGTTGGGCTTGGGACAAATGCTTGTTGCGTTTTACAAGCTGGTTTTTGTTGTTGAGGGTTGGTCGTCAGGAGAGGCCCAATGGAGTCGATCCCTCGGGCTCGGAAACTTGAAAGGGCTCCATTTTTCCCCCTGTGCCAAATTGAGAGAGTCAGAAGGGGATTTGTAAGGTACCCCCATTAAATGAATTCGGCAAAGAATGGTGGTTATATCAACCCAACCAGTATTTGAATGGTGGTAACTGAACCCCAGGGGGATGGATACGCGGGGCTTAGCTAGTGCATTTGTGTTGGTGAGGGGTTTGGCCCGCACGAACATGTGCTTGTTTTGAGCACCAGCAGAGCGTGATTCATGAATGTATAGGACTCCAGCACCCCCCAACTACTGCTATTTCCCATGCCCAAAACCCAAAGTACTGTCCAAAAAGCTGTGGTTGAGGCGTGCTGCAAGACTCCTTACAAGCCCAGGTGGTTTGGACACTCAACTTTTGATCGCTCCGTTCCCTGGCTGCAAGACGGAAACTGGCCGAAGGTTGAGAATGGCACAAGTGTGAAAAAGACATGCAATTTCTTTGGGAATGCTTGTATACATTGTCTTTGTTTGTTTGTCTTGTTTGCCCGTTCTTGCGAGCAACTCTGTCGGCATGACTTTTATTCAATATGGGGTTGGCTCATGGGGGAACCGCCCCAAAATGGCTGATTTCCTGTTGGTTCCCTTAAGAACCACCACCCCAAAAAAAGGCGCATCCTCAACAAAAAGACACACCCATATGGTCCACCTTTTAAGGGTGTGTCAGGGATTCACCCAGAGAAGTCCCCTAGAACCCACTGTTTTTTGGCCGACCGCCTGATGCACGAGCCGTGTGAGAAAATGGTAGCCTTTGCATAATGTAAAAAGCTCTCAAAATGGGT